CAATTGAATACAAAGTTTGGCAACGAAATACAGCATGTTAGCGATTGAATGCACAAAATCATTATAGTAAAGATTAAACAAAGCAACTACAGCTTGGCTTTACATAAGCATAAACAGTGCGGGAAAATTTACGAATAGTTGAGATGGATCTTAATTCAGTGGGTAATTTATTCCAGTCCTGAGGAGCTTTAACACAAAAGGCGAGTCTACCCACCTCCTTTTTAAAACGAGGAACAACAAATGATGGAAGAGTAGTTAAGCGGATGGAATACAAGGAATCAATGGGAACCAAGTGTTTTTAGATAAAGTGGAAAATCAAAATAAATGCACTTAAACATAAATATCAACCAATGAAATTGTCGTCTAGCTTTTAAAGGAAGCCAACCAAGAAGATCATACATATAACAATGATGAGTGTTAAATGAACACCGCAAAATAAAACGACACAAACTGTTATAGACGACATCAAGAGACCGCAGGCTAGAAACTGTTGAGTTTTGGTATAAAATATCAGAATAATCAATGATCGGTAACAGAAGCTGAGTGACGATGCGCTTTCGTACAATAGGTTCAAAGCAATTTATTGAGTTATAAAGGATACGTAAACACCGTGTGACCTTAAGACATGTTGTGTGAATGTGAAATTTAAAAGACAGCTCTGGCTCTAGCCAAACTCCTAAATATTTCATTTTAACAGACGGTTGAACCGGGGAGGAATCCAAAAAATAAAGATTAAGAGTCCTGTCACTGTCAGATAGAGTACTACATCTATGAAACAGCACGGAGTAAGTCTTAGATTTATTTAAAAGAAGTTTGTTCTGCGCTAGCCAGAGCTGCACTTCGTCAAAATTAGGCTGAATAGCTTCTTGTAATTCGGATTTACCCGACTTAGAACAGTATAAGACTGTGTCATCTCCATATAACTGAACAGAACAGGATCTGCAGCACCGTGGTAAATCATTAATAAAAATTAAAAATAATAATGGCCCAAGTGAAGAGCCTTGGGGAACACCTCTGATGACTCCACGCGTGTTTGATTCAGAACCATTAAAGGAAACAAATTGAGAACGATGATGAAGAAAAGAACTAAACCACAGTAGAGACGGCCTTGACAGACCAAAAGCATATAATTTATCTAAAAGTAGATAGTGATTGACGAGGTCAAAGGCTTTTGTTAAATCAAGAAAAATCGCACCACCAAATAAATTATTGTCAAAACCAGAATAGATGTCATTAGAAAATTTGAGCAGTGCAGTAGTTGTCGAGAAGTTTTTTCTGAACCCCGATTGGTACTGTGATAGTAGGTTGTTATCCTCTAAGTATTTAGATAGTTGGATAAAAACCAGTTTTTCAAATACTTTAACAACTGTATTAATTATAGCAATGGGTCTATAGTTATTAGGTTCAGATGTATCGTTTCCTTTATGCAGTGGTATTATTTTAGTACATTTCCAAGCTTTTGGAACAGAACATGAGTTAATTGAATGATTAAAAAGAATAGATAATGGTAAGGCTAGAACATCAGCAGCTATCCTAACAAAGCGACTCTCTATGCCATCTGGACCTGCAGTATTATTGATATCCTTATGCAAAGCATTCTTATAAAAATTAGCTTTAGCATTCTTAGTCTGGGTAGTACAGAAGTTCCTTAGTTTTCTATAAACTGTCCAATGCTCATGCAGATTGCTAAGTTTTGCTACTTTCCACGCTTTGTCGCGCTTCTTAAATAAAGCAATTAAATCATGAGAAATCCAAGGCAAATGGCTGCCCTTAATTTTTACATTGACCCAAGGAGCATGTTTATCAAGAACCTGCATGAACTGAGAGTGGAAAAATGCCCAAGCATCATTAACATCAGGTATAAGAAACAATCTATTCCAATTAAGAGAATGCAGCTCCTGTAAATACTGATCAGTGTTAAAAGTATGCAAGTCACGAAGTCTGATCATCTTAGCTGGTGTATGTGGTAAAGATATTTTCCAGAAGCAAAAACTAACAGAATGATCACTAAAACAGTTGGGCAAAACGCCGTAATCAGAAAATCTGTCTGGGTGAGTTACTAATATCCAGTCAATGAGAGAAGAGTTTGTGGCACAAGTCCTAGTTGGCTCTGAGACCAGCTGTGTCAGATTTGAGCTATTTAAAAGAATACGTTCTGGAAGAGTAGATTCATCAAGCCAGTTAAGATTGAAGTCGCCAAGTAAGATCAATTCCATTGAGTCCCCCAACGAATCAACCGTTGCTAGTAAATTTTGTATTGCTTCAAGTCTAGGGGAGGGGGGGGGGAGGGGGGGGGTAGATGTTGCCAATTATAATGTGCTTATTTCCATTAAAAGACATTTTAGTAAAGATGGCTTCGAAGTGAAGTGGTTTGACTGTCGGGACAATAACCCGAGACTGCAGACTAGAGGAGACATAAGTGGCAACCCCGCCACCCCTTGTCCCTCTATCCATTCTATATAAAACAAAGTTGTCAAGAGAAATATCACTGTCAGAAATGTTACCATTCAACCATGTCTCAGACAACGTAATTATTTTTGGTTCATTATAACCAAGCCATGCTTTTAATAAATCAGTTTTAGGAAATAAGCTTCTTATATTGAGATGGATTATGTGTAAACCTTTACCCATAACAAGAAAGACGAGGTACAAAAATAACCCTCACAGCAGGCAGATACAGAAGAAAATCTAAAACAAAAATAAACAGAAAAAAAAGAACAAAATATAATAAAATTACACGGAAATTAAATGAGTTATCACTCATAGTCCAAAAAGTCTCAGATCTGAGCCCATGGCCTGCAACCTGCTCAAAGCACAGCCACCTAAACTAATAAAAATTGCCATAACTCAACACGGTGACTGGATTTTATCAATATAAGTAAATAAGAATAAAGTAAGGATAATTTGACCTTAGACGAAATTTGATTTCACCGAACAAGAGGAGAAGCAAAAACAAAAAGGAATTACCTGCTCTGCGAAAGAGCCAGAATTAGAATAATAAAAGAAAGAGGAAAGTCACAAGTCCGCCCTCCGCAGGTGCTCGTACACCCAAAACCTCTCAGGGCATCTCAACCCAAAGAGTCCAGGTGACTTTCAGCAGCCACTGGGTCTGTAAAAAGCAGATGATCACCATCAGAGATTATCTTGATGCTTGCAGGATAAAGAAGAAAATCTTGTAGTCCCAAGGCGCGAGCCCGGTTCAAAACCGGGAAGCAGCGGCGTCTCCGACGAGCTGTTTCATCACTGAAATCAGCAGCAAATCGAACCGATTTACCAGCCACCAACACCTCAGACTTCCTTGCCAGAGCCAGGATCCGATCCCTGTCATTCGCTCGGAGAAAACAGACCACCAAGGTCCGAGGAGACCCTGACGCGCCAGGTTGTCCAACCCGCCGCGCCCGAGTTATATCAGGAGAAGATCCCGCCAGCTCTGGGAACCACACCAACAAGTTGCTCCTAAGATAGGATAGAGCATTGTTGAGCTCAATCCCCTCTTTTAAATTGAGGATCCGGATATTATTCCTTCTACTTTGATCATCGAGGGCAGCAATCTTCCTCTGTAGTTTCTGCAGGTCTGCGCTCTGAGCCACGGAAGCGTCCTCCACGCACCGCACCCTTTTTTGGAGTAAGGTGGTGATTTGTTTTTGAGTTTCAAGCTCTTGTGTGTGCTTGTCAAGTGTAGATCGAATTGAGTCAAGTTGAGAATCAAGACTATCAAACCGATCCTTGGCATGTTTTTCTGCTTTGTCAAAAAACTTTTGAAGAGTAGACTCCAAAGTCTCCTTGTTCAGGACTTCCAGTGACACGTCAGCAGCGTCGTCGTCAGAGCCCTTAATTTGATCTTTCTGCTGGCGCTTAGGAGGCATTTTTATCAGTAATATGGCTTAGTCAATCACCTTTTTTCCCAATCCTTCAAAAAAGGCCTTAAATTCATGTACCAAACGCACAAAGGTCAAAAATCCAGGTAGTTAATTAAATAAGGCAGGAGAGACCGCAGGCACACAACCACTCACTCCGCCATCTTGCTTTGACTGCTTTGATTGGGAGAATAACAAATGACTGACTTGGATAGTGTTGATCAGGCAGAGCTTTGTTGCCAGCGTTCCGTTGCATAATGGCTTCAAACACGTATATAAAAGTGTTAGTTTTTACGTAAACCGTTGGATGAAATTACACAATCTGACTGAGCTCTAGTTAAGGCTCTTGAAATAGTTTGTGTATGAGTATGTGCATGCGTGTGCGTGTATGTGTATTTGGGGGAGGGTACATTGGAACTTTGTCCCCCCAGTTTGAAAATCCTATCTGCGCCCCTGCCAGACCTGATCACTACCAGACCTGAACAACACCAGACCTGATAACCACCAGACCCAATTACCTCCAGACTCGATCACTACCAGATCTTATTACCAGACCCGATCACTACCAGATCTTATTACCAGACCCGATCACTACCAGACACGATCACTACCAGACACGATCACTACCAGACCTGATAACCAACCAAACTGAAACCTGATAAAGTCCAGACCTCAGTAATTATTTAATCATTTTAAAATAACCTGTCTCGAAGCAAGAATCAACATCATGCCTTGTTCTAAAGACCAAAATCACACTCAACTATTTCAAGCCCTGTAGGTCTCACCTGAGTCAGGTTAAGGTCAAAGGTCATGATTCAAGAATAAGCTCTCCAGATAAAGAAAATCATACCAATGGTCCAGCACGGTCGTTGGGGCTGTGTTGCTTCGTCCCCGAGCTCATAACCAGATTAAAGTTGTTGCCACTAAGATTTTAGCTTTAGAGTTTCATGTAGAGCCTTTGTGGGTTTAACAGCTTCTCCGTCATAATGAAGAAAACAATCATTTCTCTAATGCTGCAATCTGCTCATCTGAAATATTTAAGTGACTAAAAGAAAGAAAAAAATAAATCTGCAACGGGAGCCTAACAATCACGAGTGCTTTTTCTGTAACATGCATGAGTAATGGTCCGAGTACTAAACCCACCTGAGACCAAGATCCAGTGCTCCACTCTGGAGGGCAGGCCTGGATGTGGCACGGCTGGACCTGGGCTGGAAAGATGGAGGGGCAGAGGGAATGAGCCACCACCTCCTCCCTCTGGTAGGTCACCTTCCTCAAGCAGCGCAATGTCCTGGTCTGCTGACCTCCACCACAGGAACGGCTGCAGGCCCCCCAGTCTCCTGTGGTCCAGCTGAGGAGGGGGGACAAAGAGAGTCTGCATCAGTCCAAACCAAGCCCCCACAATGCGGCTCAAAAATTGAGAACAACCCAGAAGTACCAAAAATTGCAGTTCCACCCTCATCCGCTGGGGGCTGGTGTCAGAAGCGAGCAACTCCTCATTGACTCTCATGTTAAAAATACCAATTTCACAGCAGAAATAAACATGTTTACAGCCTGGTACCAAAACATGTTTTTTGTTTAAATTATCTAGTTTACACTCATGACAATTCTGAGGGGGTGAATTTTTCTCTCTCACTGTTCTATTTAAGTGTATTAAAAGCCTAAAATTCTGTAAAATTAATGAGCATCCGACCCACGTGACCGCCGCCTCAGACCCACGTGACCACAGAGCTAGCTCCGTGGAAAGGCCTCCGTAGAGCCTCGGTCTGGCCTGGAAACTGCTCCGGCATTTTGAGTCTCTGTGTTTGTGTATTCTTTTTTGGATATTTTTTGTGCAATTGTTGGACAAAATGACTTGCTGTGGCATTAATTGCTCTAATAGAGCGTCCAAGGAGTCTCCACTTCATTTTTTTCGGTAAGTAAAATTATATTTATGTATTTTAGGTCACTGCCGAGCTGAGTTTAGATTTTAACATGTACTGTTTAACCATGAAATTTAAATGTAATAGGGTAAAACCCAGTGCATTTAACATAATGCTGCACTTTAGAAAATGGGTTGAAATATAACATGTTGGTGGAGCTGGGTTCGGACTATCGGCTTGTGGAGCTCTCGGGAGACCGATGTTTTCCACCCGACCCCCCCCCCCCCCCCCCCCTCCCGCAGCTCGGCGCATCTCTGTCTGATCGCGGCTTCTGTCTGCTGCGCGGGCTGCCGGCTTGTGGAGCTCTGGGATGGAAACCTTTCCACCCGGTTCTCCCCAGCGGCAGCTCTGCGCATCTCAGATCGCAGCGACACTTGTCTGCTGTGCGGCTGCCGGCTTATGGAGGTCTCGGAGACCTCTGTGTTCCACCCGGTTTTACCCAGCGGTCAGCCCGGCGTATCTCTGACTCAGAAGCTCTGGTGTTGTGCACAGTTAACTCCGGCTGTAGCTAGGTTGCTACCTCCGTTAGCTTAGCTCCCACCTCCGCGTTAGCTTTGGATTAGCTTCAGGTTAGCTTGTAGCTAGTTTGACCGGGTGTCGTCAGTTGATCCCAGCCTTACAGCCACACCCTCAGCTCCACCTCTCTTCCCTTTTGTGAAATTGTCTGGGCTTGACGGAACCTGTGACACGGTCAAAATGGCGGTGGTGGCCTCCTCCCATTTGGCCTCAAAAACGTGTTATTGGAGTCTATGGAAACCCATTGTCCAATATTTATATGTCAATGGTCCAAACACATCAAAAACGAGACAAGTTAAATGAACACGCAGAGCAAACACAGCCTGGTAACCACACGACGAAACTCCAAATCAGCAGCTCCAAGGCTCGACATTTATCCGTGTGGCTGCAGGTCCCCTAAAACACAGTGCTACTCAACGACACAGCTCAAACTTCTGCACGGTATGAAGCAGTTATCTAGACTGGTTAAGAGGAAGACTTGCAGTCACCACTTTCACTCAGACCTGCATCTATATTTTTGTCACTCATTCCATCTTTACTTTAAAAACCACATTGTTTACAACTCAGCTTTCCCCGACAGCCCCGACTGACAAACAATGAGGCTAAAGACAGACGCTTGATTCTCTCCGTCCCTTTGTTGTTCCTTGTACTCACTTCTCACCTGTCCTCCTGGCTTTAGTCTAACCCCTTCACACTTGTCTTATGCTCTTTGCCACGTCTGCGTCTGCTCTGCCGTTACCGACCGAAAGCCAACTGCTATGTCTAAAATAACTTCTGCCTTGGCGTCTCGGATGATGGGGATTGAACAAATGAGAGGTCTGACAACCGCATGCTTAGAAGAAGAGGGTGAGGGAGGCGATGGGCAGATGGCTCTGTCCAATCCTTTGACGACCAGCTACCACAGAGACTGCTCCTCCGTGCCGCCAACCTGCTTCAGGGGAAGAAAAATGCTTTCATTCCCTTTCAAATGCCGCAGACAAATGAAACAGCAGGACTGAGCTGCAATTTGGAAATGGGAAAGTTGTGGACCACTGGGAGCTGAAAGCATGGGGTTGGGACATTTGGCTTGTGAACTATTTGTTTCTTTTTCCCCTCTGACTTATAAATAACAATATATGATTGGGGGAAGGCAGCTGATGTGGCACGTATCTTTTTTTTACCTAGCTGTAATTTGTGTGCACATTTTGAGGTGAAATGGAGGGAAGGTTCTCCAAAGACTAATGTGCGATCTGTTTGTAGAACCACAAAATCACCAGCGCTACTAATGAATGACCTCGTCTAAATGATCTGAGTCCTAAAATAAAGTTTCATTAAAAGTGTGGTTGTTCTAAATTCTAAAAACTTGTCTTAAAGGTTTTTAGACCTCATGGGAATCCTGCTGTTTCACGGAATAACAACTTTTCTATGCAGATTTTAACACCGATGTAAAAACGTGTGAAAACATTTGAAACGATAGATAGATAGATAGATAGATAGATAGATAGATAGATAGATAGATAGATGATAGATAGATAGATAGATAGATAGATAGATAGATAGATAGATAGATAGATAGATAGATAGATAGATAGATAGATAGATAGATAGATAGATGATAGATAGATAGATAGATAGATAGATAGATAGATAGATAGATAGATAGATAGATAGATAGATAGATAGATAGATAGATAGATAGATAGATAGATAGATAGATAGATAGATAGTGGGACATGTAACAAGTGATCCTACTTGTAATAATCATTTGGTCGTCTACCTTTCTCAAGACTGTCTAACTTTTCTCTCCCACTGGTGTCATCTCACACTCTGACTCTTGGAAACTAGAATGGGAAGTGTTCCAGATGTGTTCGAGATAATCAACACCACTCTGTGAACATTTTGAGAAGCACAGTACTTTAAATCTGTTCTTGTCCCATACAAGTTCATTTTATTAAGCTATAATTGACTTAAATTACAGTATAAATCACTCCTGCAACATCACTGTACTTTGAGGATTTGAAGCCCCTGCAGGAACCCTGACTGTAGAGTTGTTCCTTATATCATTTGATAAAAAGCATAACATAAAAACAGGCTTTACTTTGTGTAGGTGTCACTCTGACTTGTTTACATAAACCTCAAAGTGAAATTTCCAGCCAGAGTTAAATGCTTCCACAGATGCACTCTGTCAAACTGGAAACTAAGGGAGAGGCACGGCAGATACCACCATGACCATATATATCTAACAGAAACCTGGCTCGCATGACTGAGCACACTTTTTTACATTTCTCCTGCATATCTGTTTTTTGTTAAGAATGCTGCTACAACCACAATCCTGCATCCTGACAAAGACAGGAGAGAAAGTTGAAGGCGTTCCTGAAGCTAAAGAGGGTGTTTAGGAGTGGAGAGGGGTTGGGACATGTGTGTGTGTGTGTGTGTGTGTGTGTGTGTGTGTGTGTGTGTCGGGGTGGGGGGGTTAAGTTGTTCTCCATGGCTAGACCGGCTGGGCCCCAGGGGAATCTCACCGTCTCTGCACAATGAAACATGGACATGGCTGTCAGCACCCGCGATACACCCTATAGATATAAACAGTCTCCTCTTGTCTCACACACACACACACACACAGTTCAAATGCATCTCACCTCATTGTCAGCTCCTCTTTTCTGCTGTGCTCTTGAATGTGAGCTCGTACATCCTAGAGATCCTAATGCAGTCACTAAAGCTTTCATGCTGCTCACTCAGCTCAGCTTTCTTCCTGTGCAGCATGCACAACCCAGCCTGTACACACAACCAGTGTGTGTGTGTGTGTGTGTGTGTGTGTGTGTGTGTGTGTGTGTGTGTGTGTGTGTGTGTGTGTGTGTGTGTGTGTGTTTCCATACATAAGGCAACCCATGGGTGTCAAAGTGCTTTATTTTGCTGAATGGACAAAAGCGCTGACATCTGGACTATACCAATGTCTTTAGCCAATCAAAGCGGGAAGGTCAGGCAGACAACAAGGCTGTTTAATAGCTTTCTCCAAGATAAGAGAAACTATACGCTCAAGATTAGGGGGAGGACGTTTCCTCTCGGGTGGTGGGAAACTTAGTGAGAAACAGAGGCGGTATGTTGGAGGTGTAACCGATAGCTCTCTGGCTTGTTAGGCTCCTGACACATGAGAGAGTTCAGTCCAGACTTGTTGCTGCATTGTTACCCAAATTACATCCGTCAGACACAAGCAGGTTATGTTTTTTATTTTTACCTTAAGGTTTGGGCTCAGAATATTAAAGCATCCTACATTCAAACCAATGTGTTTGTGTGTGTTGATGTGTGTACTCTCTCTGAACACAGGACATGGATTCAATGGGGCAGTGCTCTAAATCAAGCTAGCTCCTCTTGCCTCAGCCAAGAACCTACATTCTGCAGGAGCGAGGCCATTTATTCAGTGCTGTTTCAACTTGTTGCTCTGCTGCACTTTCACCACATGTAGGCCATCTTTTAAAAATACCTGTCATAAAGTTCACCATTCAGACAACAGATCACGCATGAGGATGATTTGTCCATTTGGACATTCAGGATCTTTGCTCAAATGGATGAAAAACTCAGTTTTTATGTCCTCCTCTTCTCTCAAGTCCTGCTGTCCCTCAAACACTTGCTTTCATGCTCCTAAGTTCTTGTTATGAATAGTTTTATTTGAATTATTCACTTGATTTTATTCCGTCTATTTCGTGCCCAAACATCTTTAGCTCTGAGCATTTCCAACACCAAAACTAAATGGGTGTTGCCTGAAATATTAGTACAATGATAAGATATTCGATGGAAATAAACTATACAATCCCTTATTGTTCAGACTTTCCATTCAGTGATCACATCAGTAATGAATAAGTGTGTAATCACATTTTGTCCACCTTGTTTTTTGCTGTGAAGTGACAGATTTTAAGAGATTTTAGGCAATGCAATTTTTTTTCAAATTGCATTTGTGCACAAAACAATTTAAATGCATTGATGATGGTATCTGATTGAGCAATGTAAAACTCTAAATAAATTGGATTAATTTGGGATCTTTCCAAACACTTCCCCGTAAATGGTGTTTGGAGACACAACCTGAGATATTGCAAAGGCCCAGAATACACAGAGTGATATTGTGTGTGTATTCAAAAAAGGAAAACCAGGAAAAAAAGGAAAAATTATAGAGTGGGCTGAGGAGAAAAGTGAACACAGGGTGAGCAGAGTGGCGGCTGACCGCAGCTCCACCACAGACCACGTGTGTGTCCCTGTGTGCTCCTATAAAAAAACATTTGCACGGGTTCCTGAAAATTTGGCAACATTAGCGTCCATGCCACATATCCCACAAGTAAGCAGACACAAAGACATGCCCTGACCCCCCCACCCCCCCCCCCACCCCCCCCCCCACCCACCCACACACACACACACATATACTTACTACGCAGGGCAGGGCTGGGTGTTGCACAGATGGGATCCCAGTGTGGGTCTGGTGAGGGGATTACACATGCTGGAGTTGACCTGGGTCCTCTGGTCCTGCAGACAGATCGCCTTGGTTGAGATCCGACCTGATGGAGGGAAAAAGAGGAAAAAAACCTGGTTGATGGAGAACTGGGAGAGGATGTGACATCTTTATTTCTGCACCACAATCATCTCAAGGTTTACATTCTCTAATGCTCGTGGGTTGCCTGTCAAACTGGAAGATTGGTGAAAACACAAAATCTTCTGATTTCTGTAGAAAAAGTGGAAGGAACAGTAAGGAAACAGTTTAGTTTCTTTTTGAGAAGCAAAAGGCAAGATGTTCCTCAACATTAATCCTGCATCTGACCAGGCTGCTAGCGGAGACGCAACATTTTAAAAGTGCAAATTTTCTATTGGACTCTTAACGAATCTGCAACACTGCAAATTGTGTTGCAATTTACTGACAAAGTGTCCCAGGTTTTACAATGTGTTTAGAACAGGCATGGCCCGGGCAGAAGCGCAGCTAAGGTGTGTGTGTGGAAATCCCGTTCCTTCCAGAGTGTGGGATCAGGATTGTAACCCTTTAAAGGTGATCCATTTGTCTCCGTCACTGTCAGCGCGGGCCCTACAGTTCAGGCTAAAACAGAAACAGTCTCACCTCCGGCACATGGAGCTGAGCAGTCGGAGCGCGCCACACCCCAGCTGTACTCCGGTTTCCTCTCAGTGTGCGGCAGAGTGTACTCCCACACCACACCCGGGTTCCTTCCCTGTAGAAGGATCTGTCGGGCCAGAAAACAGTCCAGAGCTGACATTCGTTTCATTGCACACATTTATTTAAACCTAATAAATATGTAATTTGGCCTAAATATTCTGTTTATCTTTTTTGTTTGTTTGTTTGTTTGTTTAATGGTCTGGATTTTACAAAGGCAGACATGTTGATTGCATTGTTCAACAACTGTTGAGATAATAAAGAAATTAAATTGATTTCTTGTAAAAGAAGAAAAAGAAATATATTTATGCCAAACCACTCAGCCTGGGCTCTTACTTAAAATCTTAAAGATGCATTTAATACCAACCAAGGACTCTAGAATTTGTGAATGCTAATTGGAGGTAAGCACATTTCCAGTAGCAAACCATTACATATCATTTCTTTTGTCAACCCCTGGAAGAGCCCCAAGTAAAATAAGTATTTAAACAGAAACATCTAGTTTACTGAGACAAATGAAATAAATGCCCAACGAGGATGCAGACGCTCATTTGGACCACTCACGTACCAGCGCTGCTGAATCTGACAGTTTAACTGAAGAAACATCACAGAACACACTCTGCCACCTCCAGTCCAAACCTACCGCCCGGATCATTGCACTCTGATTAAACAGTCCACCTACCACATCCGTCACACTCGCAGGTTCCTTTTAGATTTATTTGGACATTCAAGTCAAGCAAAAACTAACGGATGAATAAAAGCAGACCCACCAATTACAGGGGATGAATTAAGGTATGACGAGAGCAGCCAAAGGGTGTAAGAAGTCACGGTTTCATCATCAGCTCATGGTGGGTCTACTACCGGCTCCAATTACTGAGGCTAAACACACAACCTGAATTAGATGCGTCTGGTGCACTCCGGCAGCTTTATGCTGGATAGACTGATTAAAAATTAGGCCTGTCTGGTACAAATCCTCAAATTCAGTACTAGAAAACCCCTCAGTTTGATTTCAGAAGAAGTCTCAGACCTTCTCTAGCTCAGCCATCCCCACTCTTACACCGTTACTATGCACAGCCAGACTGGGCGGGTCACAAAACTTTGTAAAATCACATTTATCTGTAAACAATATGGTTCTGGTTTGTTTGCAATTAGTGTCTGAGGTTCTTTTGTTTATCTTGATGTTCTTGTGCTTGTTTTTCTTGTAAAACACCTGTTTTATGTTTGGTTATATTTACCTGATGTTTTATTTTTCTTGTGTTTTGTAGATGTTCTTATTCTCTTCTAAAAAGCTTCAGCTGTTCTCACCAACTACAGTTAAGCCCAGATTTTCTTCTCCTAATTTAATTAAATTCAGATAATCAAACATGTCTGTTAATCATTTGCAGGAATTTGATGCAGAAAACTAGGATAAAATGAAACGGGTGCTCTATACGAGCTAGCTGCAGTGCACTCTTTAAGCCCCACCCCCTCAAATAAAGCATTTTTTCTGACTGAAAACTAAACATACAGAAAGAGATTTTTTTTCCATATATTGAATCCTGTTGATTTAAATGGTTATTACTTAATAATTATTGGAGTAATAATCGTTCTATGGCCCACGCAAAACCTGTTCCTCATGTTCTCTGCATAAAACCCGAATCACATCAGAGGTTTCAGTTCTGACCAGAACGAGCCGTTTCAGGGCTCTCACTTTACCGTGCCCACCCATCCCTCACTTAGGCTGCTATTGACCCTTGTCACGTGACATCACGCTTCTCATGGGACCGCCCCCTTTGACATTACAGATGGAAGAAAAACTGTTAACAGAAATTTGAATTCCTGTAAAGTTAATGGAAACAAGCCAGTTTGTAGCCGTTTGTCGGTTTTATTTAGCTGATTTCTCTGTAAAGTTTGCTGGGCTGCTGGAGGCACTAACAGACAAGACTGTAAACCCAACTCGTTTTTTTATGGAATAACTTTGATGGACACGGAAGACAAGGATGAACCGCATTGAAAAATCAAAGGGATTGCAGCCCTCAAAGTACTTCATGAGGAAGAGGGGCAGACGGGACCTGAAATGATAAATGTGATGTTTATTTTACTTATTTAGTATTTATAATCCCACATTTCACCACAATTTCACTATATTTCAATTTTGTTACAATCAGAGGTGGAAAGAGTACTAAAATGTCCTACTTAAGTACGAGTACCAATACTTTGATAATTTTTTACTCAAGTACAAGTAAATGTACTTGCCTAAATTTTTACTCAAGTAAAAGTAAAAAGTATCGTAAATAAAATGTACTTAAAGTAAAAGTTACTTAGTTACATTTTTGTCAGCGTAAAGATGGTTACATCAGTGCAAAACCACAACACCAGTTCACAACACGCTCGTGTGTGCACGCACACACACACGCACACAGTTTGATGGAGGGATTTCTGTCAGTGAGAACAGGACGTGCACATTGATTGGACGAGGTTTTCTAGGCTTGTACGTTTCAACTGTGATTAAAATTATTCTTTATTTTGAAAAAAGTTAATTTTTAGATGCCATCAGCATGTAAGGTATCTCAATGTTCTCATGACAAAACTCTAACATGAGACTGTGCTCTAACCTGTCACATAACAAGCTAAATGAGAGTCAAACATTTCAGATGGACCGTATGACAGCTGCTAACGTTGGCCCTGCCCTACTTTACCTCTACATTACAGTTCCTTTATCCATGTCCATCCTAGAGCTCCTCTCTGACCTTCATGCTTATTTAGAGCAGCTGATTTTTAAAGTTAGCAGAGTTCATCCTTGGTAGTGGGTTCACTCACTCATTTAACCCTTCACCACTGAAATCAGTTTGTTCATTCCAATCCTCCTAAATAATCCTCCAATCATCCAACTGGAATCCTTAAGGGTCCCGTAACGTCCATCCTGTCAGAACAGGCCTTGGGAGCCCAGGTGTTACTAGAACTAACGGTGTCTCCTCACCAGCGTGAGCCTCCAAACTGTGAAGGTTGGTCTCCAAACATGAACTTTAAATTCATGCATTTATCTCCTCTTGTAACACTTTAACATGTTTTAAAAGGCTTGTATCATCATAAGTTACACCTCCCAGACCAAAGATAAGTACAATGTAAGATAAAATATTATCATAAACACTGCAGAGACGTCATTATTTATGAAATAGAAGTTATTTTCCTGAGCCATTACTTCAGCCAAGATATAAAATGCATGGATTTGATGAAACCATGCTGTCTCATGCAGTCCTATATGTGTAACACACACACACACACACACACACACACACACACACACACACACACACACACACACACACACACACACACACACACACACACACACACACACACACACAAACACACACACACACACACACACACACACACACACACACACACACACACACACACTGCAGCATGTTAGAATCATTTGAATGACTAATTTAACTACATTGAACTGCTTTAGTAATAATTTAATCTCTTATTCTGGAGTAAAATAAAGAAACAAGCTAAATCATCACATATCTGTGGCATCAAGGAGCATCTTCTGAGTTCAAACACAGGGATGGAGCACAATGTTTACACCTGAACAGTATCAGGATGTTTTAACTCACAGAGGCCTGCAGGTCTTCTGTTTTATGAGCACAGCGCTGATAATCTGCTTGTTATGAGCGCTAAACATTATTTTGCCGCTGCCGTGCGGAGCGGTAGGGAAACACGTTTCAAACACGGAGCCGAGTCTGGCTACCGAACCGAGTGGAATTGTGATGACGTCACACCGGTGCGCTAAGGTGCGGGATCCAACCCACAGGAGAGGAGGGAGAGAGGAGGTAAACAGCGAGTTGAGGGACTGAACTGATGTTTTTGAGCAGAAGTGTACACCCACACCCCCACGGTTTAGATGTGGTGCTCATGCAGGTGTCTCTTCTGTTCCGACGCTGCTACACGCAATATTTTTAGTTTATTAAGCCTATAGCTTGATTTTTATTCAGTAACGGTTATGATTTACAATTCTTTTTTAAAAATGTACTCGAGTAAATGTAAAAGTACAGTTTTTAAAAAAAACTTAAAAAGTATAAATATACAAAAAAGCTACTCAATTACAGTAACGTGAGTAAATGTAATTCGTTACTTTCCACCTCTGGTTACAATGTAGGGTCGCGTGTGTGAAATTATTGATTTAGCATGGTGAGCACTGCCGTAATGAGCCAGCTTGTGTCGCCCCGGTGTGAGAGTAGTTGCTGAAACCCCCCCCCCCCCCCCCCCCCCCCCCACACACACACATTTTTTAAGTTTTTTTAATCAGCTCCAGTGTAAAGTGAAACGCTGTTCAGCACATAATGTTATAAATCCAGCAGGGTGGATTCTGGCGAGGCCGGCAACTTGTTTACATCAGTGAACAGCAGCAGGGAGAACATAAGGCAATGTTAATAAGCTAGCTAACACTTGTAAACACCTCTCTCTAGACCCACCTAGGTGTGCCAAACCTTTCCACAAGGGAACCGGGCTTGAACTGGTAAAAACCAGGCTAGGTCCAAAGGGTCAATAAGCTGAGAATGTCGGGGTCTTCTCCAGGGAAGAGGGGGTTGTTTGCCGATTTGCCCGTTTGTGATGTCTCAAATGGCGAAACGGCTCACTATAGGCACTGATAGAAAACAGCTGGACAGGTTTGTTCCACATTTGGAGTTTTTATAGAAGCAGTAGAGACCTACATAGCAGCTAAAAATAATACAGAGGATGAGTGAATGATATTTCTCATAACATTTTGCTGCAATTCTGATATTTTTAAAAACACCACAGTTGAGCGTGGCGTTTGGGGGGACTAACCCCACATCCCAAGTGAAGACACTCTGGCTCCATAAAAGTAACATGGTGGAACGTCTAAACCGGTTGTTGTGGCTTCACTGTTGAAGACAAACATGGAAATTTGTCTTCAGCCTTTATGTAAATCAATGCTTCAAATTTAATGCTCAAAAATAAATGCACCACTATAAATTGCCACAGGAACAATTTTAATAGAACATTCAGTTTTAACTAGAAAGAATACAACGCTTTAAGCACATTCCCATTTCCATTCTCTTA